CTAACTTCAACTGGTGTAATATATGTGTGGACTTAATACATAAATTAGGATTATGATAACATATCATCATAAAAATAAATATTTCTGAACAGGAATTAGAATATTAGAATAACTCTTTTAAATTTTCTTTCATTTTATTCGTCAGTGTTTTATGAAATAGTGTTTTACTATTATTATTATTATTATTATCGTTAGGCTGAAATATATATATGGTATGTATGAGTCATTTTTATACTATGATTTCATATTTAGGCAATAACATTTACCACCCCCACGAAGAAAATACGCAAACAATTCTTCATTTTCACAGCTCTTGACTTTCAAACAATATTCAACAAAATTAATCAAGAAAAAACATGATAAAAACAGATATATTTTTTTTCATTTTAAAAAGGATTAACGTTTCAAAAGTAATTTTAGGAGCAGTTGCAGGTATAAAGTAAAGAATGGGAACGGAAAGGTTTATTTTGAAGTTTTAAGGAAGTTGAGTAAAACGTCTAATGTATATGTCAGGAAGTTTATATTTAATTATTTTTAGCTTATCCGCTACTCTCGGGGTTTTTAGCAAAAAATGAATGAAGCTGTCATATCGTGTCCGACAGTATAATATCATTATTTTGTGCCACGTTTTATACCGTCGATTCCCCTTACCTTCGTCTTTTTTCAACCCCATAATTTTCCCCGGATTCTGCGGCGCATCTGTCGTGTGCCGGGGCGCGGCGCGACGGCGCGGGGGGGTGGGGGGGGCGTCGGTCCCTGAATTGAAACAACTCACTCACTCAACTTAAGTTCAGACTTTAGTTGAACAGCTGACCTACAAGAGACATGTCGGACCTACAGTTCGAAATTTTATCAGAATGTTCAGACTTTTCAGAGTATTGTGTTCCACCAGTTTTTGACCTACCACCGCCCCCGCGGCCCCCCTGGTTAGAAGATATAGATAACTGTTCAGATTTAGGACTTTGTCCCAATGATCCAATAGTGAGTACAGTTCATGATGCAGCAGAAGGGATTTTTCATAGTGTTATTACAGTAGTAGTGGCTTCCATTGCAATAGTTATATCTATCATTCTCATCGCTCTTTTTATATGGAGGTAAAATAGTTTTAAACTTTTTATTCGGATAGTGAATGCATGATTAATATCATAGATTATTTGATACATATGAAAATGTTAATTTGAAAAGTAGATCTTACTTTTTCTTTTATTCATTGTACCGATATGGGTTAATATTTAATATCAATGGATTTGTACTAATGAAAGATTTCAAGACTGAAATTCAAAGTTATCAAAACTTTTAATCACCTAACTTTTCAACTTTTATTTTCTTTGAGTTTTTTTTCATATTTGACCCTTTTTTCTGTGTCCATCGCCTTTCTTACTTCTATATATAAATTTGGCTTGTCTGTCTGTCTGTTTGTCTGTTTGTTTGTTTGTTTGTTTGTATCCAATAAACGTCAAAACGGCTGAACCGATCGGGCCCAAATTTTTTGTGGGACATCTAGGGACCCCAGGGAAGGTTTATGAATGATCAAAATTTCAAATATTTGTCTCCATCAAAATTCGATCGTCATTAAATTTTTAAAAATTTTGAAAATCCGCGAAATTTTTTGTAAAAATCCGCGAATTATTTTTGTTTTGTTTTACGATGTACACAAAGAGAACATGTTCACAACTAATTTAGAAGATGGGCGCGAAGCGCCCTCTAAGGCTAGAAAGAAGGGCGCGAAGCGCCTTGAATTTCTAGTTTAGAATATTTCAATTCCTTTTTTAAAATCTATTAAATATGTATACATATCGATGAATTATTTTGGTGGATTTTATCTCAAAATTTTGTGGATTTTCTATGTTGTACCAAATAAAAAAAGGTGTTATTTCTTGTGCAACTTGTGGGGCTTAATGAACTTAATATAAGGAGGAGGTAAAATTTAGCGACATCATTGGTGCTACTTTGTGACATCCTAGCTCCTCTGGTTTTGATTTTACGCAAACATATATAAAAGCAAAATTATTTGGTCACATATTAAAATTAAAAACATTCATGTTCTTTTTATTACCTCTTCAATTAAAAAAGATATGATTAAAAACATATGAGATTTACATCTTACGTGAAATTTACTATATCTACCCTAATCTTTACATTAATCTCCTTACCTCTCCTTTCTTTCCCCTGCTTCTATAAATTGCTCAGTTCATAAATCCCGTGATATATCCGAGTTAAACCGATGGAACCATGTACATCAAAATACGGAAGAAAGAATGGAAGGCGGAATTTTATGGGGATTACCATTTCCTAATGATGGGGTAGAGATCCCATGGTTTCTTTAAACTTTTCTATTATTTAATCTTAATCATAATTTTTTAAACATGTAAAATGACATTTGTTTTGAAATTTACTTTTTTAAAATGTTTTAACCCCTATTTGTAAGTTTGTAAGGGCGTGTAATGCCTACCTATTATGCGTTTCTTTGAATAGGCCAACGCCCCTATTTAGTGAAAATTGAAAAAACATTCCTACCAGAACTAGAACATTTTTAATCATACAAATGGTGTATTTTTTCCATAAAAAATTATATCAAGAAAAATAGTATTTAAAAAAAACGTTTTTTCACAACTTTTGTTAAATCAGTACTTTGTAAGCCCTTTTTTATGATTTTTCTATTTTTTTTGGGGNCAAAAATAGTTTTCAAACTAGTTTTTTAATGGTCGGTAAACAATACTTAATTGTTGGGAAAAGAATAGTTTTCTTTGCAAATGAGAAAAGTATGATTTCGTAAAAACAATTGGATTCTCAGAATATGCTTTTATATTCCCATTTGAGTCAAATAATCCTATAGCCTATTCAACTTTTTTCCTATATCATCGACTTTATGATATTCTTTATTTCGTTATCCAATGTACCTTTTTACTACTTATTATGTATCCTATATATATATATATATCTTAATTCTTTTATTTGTTAATCCTGGTTGTGTCTAACTTTAACCCTGTATACTACTAAATCTTAATCCTAATATCTTTTAATCCTATAATATACTAATCAATAATTTCATGATTGTACCCTCCCCAGACCAATATAATATATATAATATACTACTACCTTTTAATCCTGTATAGTACTGATATCTTTTAATCCTGTATTCTATTATTTTTTTATCCTATTCTCCTGATACTCCTGATATAAAACCACATCTTAATCCTTTATTCTTTTTATTCCATCTGTATCCTTTAATTGTGTATCTTGGGTCTCATTAAGTCTTTCTCCTGTACCCATTTAATCCTTTCCATTCTTTTCCCTCCCACTTTACTGCATTATAATGGCTTTGTATTCTTTTGTTGTCAATGTTTAAATTTGATTCTTTTTCACATTAAAGTCATTCTTCTCTCTTCCTTGTAATAAAGCAGGGGGAACTGCATCCAGTAGTGCCAACACTAGCAGGACCTTAATATATTCTCTTTCATCTAACTCTCAAAGGGTTGAGATTGTATCTTTATAAAGAAGAATAGTTTTTTATTCCAATGTATGACATGTTGATAAAAGTAAATTTTCATGAAAACTTTCGCAAATATTTTTAGAGATTATTTCTCTTTTTCCCAATCACCACCAGTTTTTTTTGTTAATTCAAATAATTCTGAAACACAATTTTTCTAAATATTTATCCTTCTTCTGTTTCAGGCATCGACGACGAGTGAGACGAAACCTTGGCTTTCTATCGGAAAAGGGTGTGGATGAAAACCAACCCTGTGGAAACCAAACAGTTTATCATGCTAAAAGATTAAACCATTACAGTAACAATCTCCTGGTGGAATCCCAGGAGAAGAATAACTTTCCAACCTTGATCATTGCCGGAGTTCCGTTCCAGGTTGTGAGACGGGAGAGTGCAAACCTCTCCGATAGGACGGAGACAACGTCTGCTCCGATATATGAGACAATAGAAGATACTCAATATATTGGAGGAGTGGAGAGAGTTTATGCTCAGTTAGAAAACCTCTGTGATAGTAAATGTGAATGTGTTCCTAGAAATGAAAAGATCGGAACAATCAATCTTCAAAACTCTTTTCGACAAGTTAAGTCAGGACAGCAATTAAACCCATATATTCATTCTATATCTTCATCAAACCTAGGACACGAGGATACATATTCTCTCCAGTATTCAGAACCTATTGGAGGAATTCGTCCTAGTCCTGGACACCGCCTGGTTCAGGTTCGGGGAGATCCTGCCGAGGTTCTCCAGGTCTACATGAAGAGGCGGGAACTAGAAAATAGCTCAGGGTTCCAAAGCATTCGGAGAGGACGGGTTCCTGGTAAAGCACCTACCCTGAGCAGGTTTAAACCTGGTTCTAGTGTGACGTGATATTAAGTTTTCAAGATACACAAAATATCCTAGTCAGACATCTATAAAACATCTTTATTTAAGAATGAAAAATAAAAGAAAGAAATTTTGACATGTTTAGTTTACAGACCGTGTAACATACATCATATGAAGAAGAGAAATTTGCAAATGGATTTTATGATAAAATTTAAACCCTTGAACAGAACAAAATTTCCAGATGTAGTTTGTAAAGACTTAAGTCGATAAATTAAATTCTCTATGCCCCCCCCCCCCTTGTGTATGTTTACAAATACCCGGGTTTGTTATGAAGATATTAAGCTGGGTGCTATCTGCCTGTCATTTTCATGCCATTAGTCAGATGACTTAATTTTCACAATACCTTTCCCCTCCAACCAGTCATACCACCCCTTTAATACCGGGGGGGAGCACCTCCCCTCCCCTCATCATGATAATGTTACCCTTTCACAATAATGTAGAGAACGCTCTACTGGTTCCGTTTCCGGCCAATCCAAGATAGATAGATAGATCCCTGTATAGTCATGTGATATACCTAGAGGGGTAGAAAGCAAAAGGTCTGGTTAGAATAGTTTCAGGGAGGGGAGGGGGGGGGGGGTTAGGACAGGTCAGAGTGTAAAGGTGAGAAGGGGGATGTATTTGCAATGATAAATTACCATCATGTTGCTATCCTAAATTTACCTGTACATAGAAACCATTCATATTTACGGAACTTTGGAATTCAAACCCCAAGTTTTTCTTAATTCCCTGGAACCCTGATTTACTTAAATCTAATGGAACAATGGCCTGTTGTTGCTTAACACCCTTGCACCCCCCTCCCCGTCTTTTGAAACCCCCTGAAACTAATAATATTATTATCCTAAACTATATTTGAGATAATTAGATAAGTAGGAAAGGGATTGAAGAGAACTGTCTCAATTTGATTTATGGTTGCATCGATTAACCGTAATTACAATTTCAGTTATTTCCCTCATTTAGTTAAACGCAGAGCTGCTAAATACTGTTCAGCTGACATAATTAGACGAAATAAAGATATATCTGGGAAATGTCGATACAGAAAATACAAGTTGTTAAAACAGGGGATGGTAACTTTTAATTACGAAACTAACTTTAATCGAGATCTTTCTCTCATTAGTCAAGAATTTTGAGATTTAAAGAGATATGAACTAATTGCGATTATTTTCTACCAAAAAAAAAATAACTAGAATAAACTTTTGGATTTGAAATAGCTAACCTACACCCTTTCAGAAACTTTTGATTCCAGAGCTTAAAGGGACTGTAAGCGTAATTTTAAGTGGCCCTCCATTTAAAGGTGACAATGCTTGATGTACAGCAGTACCTTTTAAGCCTTAGTCTAATCAAAAATGTGGAAGATACCATCGTTTTTCTAACTCGAAAAGTAATTAATTTGTGTGAGTTTGTCTTATGATCAAGATGCGCAAGCCATTTTCGCATAGAATCCGCAAATAAAATTAAACAGTTTAAAGAAACAAAACATTGCTATCTAATGCAAAAGCAAACTTGATCAGACTAAGCCTTTCATGGTACCGTTGTAAATCGGGCATTGCCATCTTAGCCCCGGAGTGTTACTTGAAAATATGTTTACAGTTCCTTAAAAAGTTTGACCAATGGAAATTTTAATCTCTTTTAATCACTACATTGTTTATTCCCCTTGTTAATCTTCTTCTTCACATATCTTCATTTCTTTTTTCTTCTTTTACGACTGAATTAAAACTTGTTCTCCGTCTTTTCTGACCCTAACCAACCTATCCCTCACTTCTTCTCTTTATTTTTCATAAACTCTTAACTTAAACTCTTTCTCCTTCTTCTTCGATCTAACTTCATCGCTTTCTCCTTCTTCTCCGACCTAACTTCCTATCTTTCTCCTTCTTCTCCGACCTAACTTCAACTCTATCTCCTTCTTCTCCGACCTAACTTCAACTCTTTCTCCTTCTTCTCCGACCTAACTTCAACTCTTTCCAATTCTTCTTCGACCTAACTTCCTATCTTTCTACTTCTTCTCCGACCTAACTTCAACTCTATCTCCTTCTTCTCCGACCTAAATTCAACTTTTTCTCCTTCTTCTCCGAACTAACTTCAACTCTTTCTCCATCTTCTCCGACTTAACTTCAACTCTTTCTCCTTCTTCTCCGCTCCAACTTCATCTCTTTCTCCTTCTTCTCCAACCTATCTTTATCTCCTAATTCTCCGACCTAACTTTGCCTCTTTCTCCGTGTTTTCCGACCTGTAACTTCACCTCTGTTCTCCTAATGATGGTATGACTGGACAGGTGGTATCTCTCTAATCTCCTGATGATCAGTTTATTACTGTTATCAATCCCTGGTCAATTCACAGTAGTAATCATCAGATAAACACCTGCAATCCCACCCATACTCTTGTCAACCCATTCCTTACACTCCTCAATCTTACCTTGCTATTATCAAACTTTCCTTACTCTCCTTAGCTCCTTCTTTATCTCTTTTCAAACCCTACCTTACTCTCCCCCTTATATACTCTCCTCAAACCTCTTTTTACTCTCTTCAGCCTTTCCTTACTTTGTTAACCTTCCTTATCTCCTCAATCTCTTCCTTATCTCTTCAACCCCTGCCTTACTCTTCTCACTTTCTTTCTTATCTCCTCTATCTCTTAGTCTCATCAGACCTTCCTGACTGTGCTCAATTACGTTCTTACTTTCCTCATCCCCTTCTTTGCTATCCTCAATATTTCCTTACTCTCCTCTACCCCTTCATTAATTTCCTCAAACAATCTTACTCCTCAACCTGACTGTCCTCGATCAATCCTTTGGTTTACCACTTCTCACCCTCCTAAAACATTCTTTACTCTTCTCAACCCTTCCTTACTCTTCTCAACCCTTCTTTCTCCCCCCTCCCTTTCCTTACTCTCCGCAACCCTTTCTTTACACCCCAAACCTTTTCTTTACTCTCCTTAACCCTTTCTTACTCATCTAAACCCTTCCTTACTCCCTTCAACCCTTCCTTACTCCCTTCAACCCTTTCTTACTCTTCTCAACCCTGCCTTACTCCCCTTAACCCTTCCTTACTTTCCAAAACACTTCTTTACTCCCACCTTTCATTACTCTCCTTAACCTTTCCTTACTCTTCTTAAACCTTCCTTAATCTCCCCAACCCTTTCTTTTCTCTCTTCAGCTCTCAATAACCATTCCTTACTTTTGTTTCATCCTTCCTTACTCCATTCAACACTTTCTTACCTTATGATGTTCTTTGATAAGAGACCTTATCTAGAACTGCTTCTTAATAACATAAATTTTGTCTGTACATGGATAAAACTGTCCTTTCTTGCTAGGTTTTCAAAAAACTTCCCTCTCTTCAATCATGCATTTCCCCATATTGTTCAGAGTTCATCCAATTAGTTCCTGTTCCTCATATATGTATTATGTATCTCAAGTACTAAGTAGTAAGTTACTCTCTCCTAAATGCATGGTTTAAGTTTAAATCTGTTTGTTCTGGTTTTTACAAAAAGAATGCAAGGGTTGAGTTTATATGCGCAAATGGTTTAAGAATGGTTTGTCTGGTTGTGCAACCCTTCTCCTGGTGCAGAGAAGTACTGGGTCGAACTAGACCAGCACCCCTTACACAAGAATAGCGTGGGTGAAATTAGTTTCCTCTGGTTCTGCATGTTGATCCAGATAATTGAGAGTAGACCACCCAAATTCTAGACAAGGAGTAGGGGGAGGTGGGATTATACAAAGAGAGGAAGTCTAAAACATAGAACAAGGAACAAAAAGTAATTTAAACTAAAAGATATAAACGATAGGAAAATATTACATACATAAGTCTTATCTTATCCTAACTCTGAGTCCTTCCAACCCCTTCTTTTGCTCTGCAGTCAGGCGCGTACACAGGATTTTAGCCAGGGGGGGGCAAGATTTCGCGCGAAGCGCGAAAAAAAAATTTTTGCCCCCCCCTGGAATTGTTTTGTTCAAAAAGTCAATTAACACCATAAAAATACACCAAAAAGACTACATTTTTGGGTGTTACTAACCTTACAGAGTCTAATAAAGCAAATGATT